GAGGGCCACCGGGTACCCCTTCCCCTCTCCCTGTGTCCCCCGGGCACCCCTTCCCCCTCCCCGAGGGCCACCGGGCACCCCTTCCCCTCTCCCTGAGGGCCCCCGGGCACCCCTTCCCCCTCCCCGAGGCCCCCGGGCACCCTCCCCTCTCCCAGAGGGCCCAGGTGGGGCGGCCGGCACTCACCTCTCCGTGACTGTGCGCAGCTCAGCCAGGCCTGTCGCCAGCACCACAGCCTGTCTCCACAGGAGCAGGAGGTCCTGGGCCTTCCCCAGGCCCCCTGGCTGGGCCTGAAAGCAAGAGACCTCCCGTCTACTTCACGCTGGGGCCCTTTACCCTCCCTGAAGCCCACCGTTTTCCAGGTGCCATGTCCCTCTCCATGACAGCTGGAAGTGGACCCAGCACCCCAAAGCCCCCACATCCCCTGGGCGAGTGAGCCCTGGGCTCCCCTAACCCCACCCTGGGGCCACACTGTGCCCCTCCCCAGAGAGGACCTGGGGCACCGCCACACCCAGCCCTCCAGGCCGGCCCATGTGATGGAGGGGGTGGGTGGGGCTCATGGGCCCTGAGGAGGGAAGGCACTGGCTCGGTCTCAGCTCCCCAGGGCCCTCAGGAACTGCTCAGGCTTAGAACAGCCCAGAACCAGGACGGCCCCTGATAGGGCATGGGGCAGACGCTTCTGCAGCACTCGGCTCCTGCCTCCGGCTCCGAGGGAGGGGACAGGCTGCCTTCTCCAGCACAGCCTTTGTCCTCACTCTGGGGCTCCTGGAGATGTCCCGGTGTGGGTCATCTTCTGACACAGAAGCGTCAGAGGCCTCAGCACTGGGGCCCCGGCTTAGCAGGGAGGAGGGTGGGAGGTCACTGCGGAGGCGAGGCCGGTGACGAGGCTGTAAGGCAGCGGAGGGGAGGGCTCCGTGTCGGGGCAGCAGTGGGGATCGTCTGTGCTCAGCGGGCCCAGCCTGCAGGAGCTGCGACGAAGGCCTCAGGTCTCCACACCACCCTCCAGGCCCCACACGCGCCATCTCCTGCTCGCCCACCTCCGGAACTCGGGGGTGACCGTGTTCCCACCACCTCTCCCTGCCTGCGGCAGCCCCAGCCCTGCTCTCCAGTTTGCCTTCAGGTCGAGCACTCACATCCTGCTGTTCTCCAGAACCCCCCCAGAGAACCATGGTCAGAAGCCAGCAGAAGCAACGGGACGAGACTGTGAAGAACTTCAGGTAGTGGATCATCATCTGACTTTCATGAAGCTTTCCTGACCCTCATCTGATCCCACACCCAAGGTTCCCCCCAATAAGCCCTCCTGGCGGTACACCCTCCGAAGGGCATGCCACGCTGAGCCCGTAACGCCTGGCGGTACACCCTCCGGAGGGCATGCCACGCTGAGCCCGTAACGCCTGGCGGTACACCCTCCGGAGGGCATGCCACACCGAGCCCGTAACGCCTAGCCACATACCCTCAGAGCACATGCCACTCCGTGCCTGGTATACAGGGGTGGACCCTTGCTTCAGCCACACCGCCTCCTGCACTCTGACTATGTCCATCAAAAGAGCAGGCTGATGCACTTCTGGTTACACGGAGGGGCGGCTGCCAGATTAACCCGCCCATGAACACACGAGACTCCAGACTCACAGCCTCTTCCTGAATGCACGGGTGGGCTGGCCTGAATGGCTAGAACACGCAGGTCAGGAGTTGGTGAAGTCATGGACCATCGGGAAATGTAGGCAATTCTTGCTAAGCACAGGCATGTGCACACCCACACACACGCACACATGCATACACACGCGCACACACGTACACACATGTGCACACATGCACATGCACACGCACATGCACGCATGCACACACAAACATGCACACACACGTACACACACGTGTGCACCACACATACACACACAAATATACACATGCGCAAGTGTGCAGGCATGTACACGCACACACATACACACGCATGCACACACATACATATACATGCACACACACACACACACAAGTGCATGCGCACACACACACACACAAGTATACACATTCATGAGGGTGCAGACATGCACACACATGAATACACACACATGCATACACACATGCGTGAGCACACATGTATACACATGAACACATACACATGCACACACATGAATACACACATGCACACATACACATGCACACATACACACATGTGCATGCACACACACATGCATACAAGTATACACACATGAGGGTGCAGGCATGCACACACGCATGCATGCACACACATGCATGAGCACACGCGTATACACATGAACACACACATGCACACACACACGTGCGAGTGTGCAGGCGTGCACGTGCACACACACACACACACACACTGCCCTGCAGGACATAAGGAAAACTGCCCATCTAGAATGCCAGAGTTAACAGAGAAAAAAGTCTTCCTCACGGATTTGGAACCACACTTAGACTTCACACAGTTTGCAGCTGAATTCACACAACCAGGACAGTCTCAAGAAAACTCAGGCTGAAAATGTGCTTCAACGTGGCCCCAAAGACCGTTAGAGCCCCTCAGCATCTACCAGAAGCAAACAAAATCCCTTCCTGGAAAATACTGTATTCGCCTCACGTTTCGAAGAAACTTCGCAAAGGTCTAAGGAAAATAAGCAGCTCTTAGTTAAAATGTAAAAAATCAGCAAAGGCACAAGGAAACAAAGGACCATGAGCAGAAACCAGAAACGGCAGAACCAGACCTTAGAGAACCTCAGGCATTAGGTACACGTGGGCCACAAAAAGACGATGGTAAGCTTGCTCCGGCAAATAAATAAGAGGCTTGAAAATGTGAGTTAAGAAGCCAGGCAGGGAGGCTCACCCCTGTAATCCCAGCACTTTGGGAGGCTCACCGAGGTGGGTGGATCACCTGAGGTCAGGAGATTGAGACCAGCCTGGTCCACATGGTGAAACCCCGTCTCTACTAAAAATACAAAAATTAGCCAGGCGTGGTGGCTCCTGCCTGTAATTCCAGCTACTCGGGAGGCTGAGGTAGGAGACTTGCTTGAACCTGGGAGGTGCAGGTTGCAATGAGCTGAGATTGTGCCACTGTACTCTAGCCTGGGTGACAGAGCAACTCTGTCTCAAAAAAAAAAAAAATGTGAGTTAAGAGTAAGATATTCACTATTTGGGAAGGAATCAAACAGAACTCTTGATGAAAAATACAATATTTGCAATTTAAGCTAAGTAGGCAAGTTTAACAGAGATTAGACATCAGAAGAGAAGACTGATGGACAGCAGTGGAAATTTGAAGAAATGACCTAGAATGTAGTCCAGGCTGGTAAAAGGAGCAAAACCGTGGACTGCGTGAGAGGCAGCGTAGGGATGGCGCACACACGTCTAGCGGGGGCTCAGAGGACGGGGATGGACGGCGAGCCCTGGCAGCGTTTAAAGATACTGACTTTCCGAAAATAACAAGTGACACAGAGGCTCCGAGAATCGCGAGGCGGAATACACAGAAATCTACATGCAGACATGACCCCGGGTGCGGCACCACAGCCACGCCGGAGCCGGGTCTTAAGAGCAGCCAGGTGCGGAGACGTGTTACCTGGATAAGGAGCCTGTCGAATCCAGGCGGCCTGGAAGCTGACTCCGCAGCAGCAGCAGCGGAAGGGGAAAGAGAAAGCAGCTGTTCAGAGTGTGGAGAGAAAACAGTGTCCACCAACCAGCGAGAACGGTTCTCAAAGACAAAGGAAGTAAGACCCGGGCGATCCCCTGGCAGCCTGAGCCCAGGGACCCTCGCCTTCCCGCGTTTGTTCTCACGCAGCGGTCATCAGGTGACCTGCCCAGCGGTCCGAGGACGGGGACCAGGCAGTGGGAACATGAGATCTGCCTCAAATGCCTGGAGCCGAAGAGCTGGCACAGGTGGTGGGCTCTCGCTGGCAGCCCGGCTCCCGGTGACGCCCTGCAGAGGTCAGCATTCCCTCTCCAGGTGTAAACTTTGGCTGCTCAGTCTGACACCTGCCTTTCAGGAGCCGCAGCCGCCCGGGGTTTGGGGCTGGGACCCAGCCCGAGTGGGAGGCGAGTGTCGCCCCTCTGGGACATGCCTGTCCAAGGGACGTCTGTGGAGGCAGCCTGAGGCTGGAAACTCAGCCGCCCCTCCGGCTCCCGCCTCCATCCGGCGCAGCACACCTTCCAGGGGGACCCTCTTCCTGGGGGACTCCTTGCCTGCGGTGCCTGTGGCGTGCAGGTACCCTTTGCTGGAGGGCTGTTGGAAACACCTTCTGCCCCAGGGACTGCCTGGCTGGAGCGCCACATTACCTAAGGCCACACCAGCTTCAGGACCGGGGTCCCACAACCACAGAAATATCCGAGCAGGGCACGAACACCTGGGTGTCTCCCTCCCCAGGGACTGATGCCTGGAGCCCTGGGCTCTGACCCCCGCATGGCTCAGGGCTTCAGAAGCTGGAGTGGGTAAGGCTGCAGGGGATCTAGAGGGCCACCGCCAGGCGCAGCCCCAGGTTCCTGCCAGGGTGCCCTCTCCTGAAGTCTGGCCAGGAGTTCAGCCTATGGAGATAACCCGCCTCTCAGTGTGGCCCACACAGGAGCCAGGGTGCGCCCCATGCCCCTTCTCAGAGCCCCGCCCTCCTTCTCTGGCTCGGGGAGGGTTGGGGCGGACCGGGGAGTCCCTCACCCCACAGACTACTGTGGCCAGGCCGCGCTGGGGACATGGCACCCTCTCCCGGTCCCCGCCCACTACCCACCACAGGCACCCAGACAGGGGCCACCACGGGGTGGGTGAGGGTGGGGCGGACCTGTCCCTGGGGCCGGCGCCTCCGCTCCAGCTCGCCCTGCAGACGCCGCATGCTGCCCATCGTCCCCGCCAGCTCCCGGGCCAGTGCGTCGTTGGCCTTCTTCATGTGCTGCAGCTGCTCCCGCAGGAGGGCGTTCACCTGGCACAGGCCGGTGCTCCTGGACAGAGAACCCACAGGGCACGGCGGGGCTGGCAGCCTCTCCCAAGAGAGGCGCTCAGAGTCCCCAAGTCAAGGAGCTTCGGTGGAGTCCCAAACCCTCTGGGTCCGTCCAACCCCAGTGCATGGCTTCCACTCTGCCCCCACCTGCCATGGGCCCCGCAGGGAACCCAAAACCGAGTGCCAGCATCAAGGTGGTGCTCCCAGGTGCCAGCCCAGTGCCCTCCCGCCTTCCTGTAACACCTGCCTTCTGCTCCCCCCAGCCCCACCCTGAGCTCCCCTGGCTCTGCCTCTGCAACCTTGGCTCACTCCTCAGTGCCTGAGACAAGGTGCCGGGGTGGAGGAGGCGCCCTTCGAGGGGCAGGGTGACGTGTTGGAGGTGGAGGAGGGGCCCTTCGAGGGGCAGGGTGACGTGCCAGGGTGGAGGAGGCGCCCTTCGAGGGGCAGGGTGACGTGCCAGGGTGGAGGAGGCGCCCTTCGAGGGGCAGGGTGACGTGCCAGGGTGGAGGAGGCGCCCTTCGAGGGGCAGGGTGACGTGCCAGGGTGGAGGAGGCGCCCTTCGAGGGGCAGGGTGACGTGTTGGAGGTGGAAGAGGTGCCCTTTGAGGGGAGGGTGCCGTGCTGGTGGGGGCCCTGCTGCACCCTGGTACCTCCCCCTCGAGGAGGTCTGCACTTGCTGGAGTGGGGGTGCAACTCCACCAGGTGGGTGGCCTGCTCCCGGGAGCCCACGCCCCGCCAGGTCCCCCTGCTCCTCTCCGCCCACCGGGCCTGAGCCTCCCTTGGGGATTGCTCTTCCCTCTCAGAACGGGTTTTCAAAACCCTCTCAGCACTTTTGTTCCTTGTCCGGATTCCTGGAGGATGAACCAAGTGTAATATTCTACAAACAATTTAACCTCCCACGTCTGGGAGACTAGCGGGCCTTGGTTATGGTGGGGACTGGGGCGGTGTGTGGGGCCGGGGCGGCCTGGGGGCCGGGGCGGTGTTGGAGGCCGGGCTAGCGTGGGGGGCCG